TGAAGACATGATATTTATCTATAAAGTCATTGGTCGTTATGAAATTATTCCTCAAACTAGACTATATAACTTTGATGATACGTGTTTATTGATATTAACGACTAATTATTTATTTTGTATTGGTACGGATTTGTTAAAATTAGTGTCCAAAACAATTTTTGTCAAAATAATAGAAATATCGTTTATTCTAACAATATTCAAATGCATAAGAAATAAATCTGTCAAATTATCTTTCCTAAAAATATCCTAACGTAATGGGAATAATTGACCAAATATTTACTTTATCCTACTTACTTGGCTATGACAACACACTTGGTTAAAGTTTTGTTTTTATAATATGAAATTTCAAAATGGCAGTAACATTGCTCCTGCTCACGACAACTAGGAATCATTCGTTTCTGAATAAATTGTAGATAGTATTTTTCGTAATTCATCAGTGTGAAATCGTCTATTACCTTCACTTTCGAAACGAAACAATTTTTTTTATTAAAGAAAAATATTTGTCTTCACTTGGATCGACCAGGGATTTGTGTAACTTTATTCTATCCCTTACCGATTGAAACTTATGTAATTCAGTATACAACGGTCAGAAAAGTTATTATTAAGCTATTTCGATTGCAAACGGTCAATTAACTACCCTTTTTCATTCACTTTACAATAAATAATCCCAGAACTTTTGATAAAAATTTACAAGAAAACCAATATATTTTAAAAATTTCACTTTTATAGAGAAAAACAAGCCTACAGAGATTGAAAAAGGAGATCAAACATAATTCAATTACTTACGAAGTAATGACAACCGGACGTTGAGACACCGATTCTCCACCAGCAAAAGGACGACCGAATCCGTCTTTTTTACGTTCAACACCACGAGTAACAATCAAATGATATGCATTCGGTGATGTTAAATCCATTAATTGATGAACCGTATCCAGTGGTCGAACACGTCGTCTAAAACGACATTGTAATGTACCATCCATTGCATTAAATGTACCACCTAAATTCTCACCATCTGTTATTAATAATTCCTATGAATAATAATAATAAATGAGCTCGAATAGATCTGATAAATTGAAAAATGTTGAACAAAAAAAAACAAGTTTATGAGAATTTGTCACCTACGTTGTTTAATAAATAAATCAAAGTCAGATTAGGTAATATTCATGCAAACTATGGCTTTATCTTTTTCGAAAAACTCCACTCCTTAGCAGGATAGATTCTTGATTATTACTTGCTCGAGACTAGATCGAAATAGAACGCACAACTTGGTTCATTCTTCAACCAATCAACGCTAGCGGATAAACTGAGAAGATATTAGAGTATTCCTGTGTACGTCATATATGTATGTTGGCATTTTACTACATTACCCTTTCTTGTTCGAATTTTTGGGATGCATTTTTGTTTACTTTCAATTTGTGTTCTGATTTAAAACCAGTCGAATGAAATAGTGTATCCAAAGAACTCTAGACAGCATATATTTCCAAAAACCTAGGAAACCATTACCCCTCAAGAGTTACAAACTCCTTTAACAGTCAATTCAATCACGAAACTACAACTGAGAGGATTATAATCAGAAGAATAATTCATGTTTAAATAGATAAAAACAAGGTAGATGTAAACTTTCAAACATTGTGAAATCGCCTCATACTGCATAAATAACCGAATTAACGGAATGCAATAAAACTAAACCTAAATAAGAGAGAGGAAAGTGAATTCTAAGAGCAGAGTAGTTTATAAAAGAAGCACAAAGAAAACAAGCTTAAATATAGAATAGCAAGCCGTTGTGTTATTAATAAACTATGAGTGATTTTAGATTAAATCCTTGAAAAAAAATCACTCCCTCTCTAACCGTTCATTTTAGTCGTCTTGAGAACCATAATTAGGATGTTTCGAACACTTTACTGCAGGTGTCAAACGTAAGACATTTGGAATAAATGGGATACATTAGTTTGACGAATCTGAAGTTTACTCCTTTTAAGCTTTACTTGAATCAATAATGAAGATCAACTTCGAGACATAAAGTATCCAGATATACATCAATCAATTTAATTATGCATTAATAAGTCACTCAGTGATTACTTAAATTCTCAACCTTGTTCAATATTTATACATACTGGGAAGATACGAATCCATATCATCAATAGGATCCTGGAAAAAAAGGGTAAATATCATACAAACAGTGCAATGTCATTATTACAGGTGTAGTGTGTCCCATGAGATGCATACACTTGAAACATTACTTGAATGTTTATCAGTGAGGCAATAAACTTTAGTAACTGCATTGAATATATTTATAATTACATCTGAAAAAGATTGTTTTGACCCTTCATTTAGATATATATTCACTGCAATAAACGAAATCCAGCTACTGATTTTCTAAACTTGGGAATGTAGTCTTGCATTCAGAAATGATAAAACACAATCATTGGTTTTTAATATTCAACTAAGCGATTGTCGTTGTTATTATCATCTCTAAGACCTGGTTATGAACACATACCTTTCTTCCGACAACTTTATGACACAATTTACATGTGGTTTTACTCATTTACATGGATTTTTGTGTGAAATATTTTGCAGTTACGCGAAGCAAATGAGAAAAAATCAGGGTGTAGTGAACGAGTGCGGGGACAACCAAATGTATTTAAACACGAAATTACAGAATCACAGTAAAATCTGAAAACCATACAGTAAACACTTTATTTGCAAAATGTCAGTCACTTATTAAAGACTTGACTCTTCCTTAATTTACACACCAATCACTCTCTGTTCCCGTTCTCTTATCTTCGATTTTCTTAACCTTTTGTATCCAGGCATTTCACCTTTGATTGGTGATATATACCATTTATATCTGTCGATATCAACAGCACATATCACAAGGACACCTACAGAAAAACCAACTCGCATTTGTCCAGCTAAAAAGGGGACCATATTAGGATTAGTAACATTTGTTTGTTATGCACCAACTTAACCTTATAATATCGTAGATTGTATACATAAATTAAGTTACTGATTAATTAACATCAAATTCATTGAATAAAAAAAAGAATTCAGCGAAGAAAATCTTTTTCGTTGGATTCTCTTTCTCTTATTCAATGACACAATGGGTTATTTTAACTATCCAGTTCAATTTATTTAAATTTGACTATTCATAAGTTTAAGTAAAACTTGTAAAAACTCGGTTTATTTAGATTAAGTTCTGGACTCATTTTTGATGTTCAATAAGTTCACATCTGTGTGTCCATATCTTCTTCCTTGCATCGAGCCATACCAGGCCTTATTCCAATATAACACTCGCTAAAACATCATGCTATACAAGGCACATCTGACATCAGTCATTTACATATTTATGTACAAACACTGTTTCAAGTTTACGACTAATTGACTGGCTATAATAACATCATCTCTGCTTCAAAAACAGGCAGTATAATGAGAGGAGGATGAGTTCACCTATGTACAATTGTTTTTTCGCTAAATACTGGACAATAACGTCCACATATAAGTCATGACAGCAAAGAATAAGTAATTTGTAGGCTATGCCTATTCATTTGATAACACCTAAAAAATAAAAAATACATGTATCTGGAAAAAAAATTACAGAAAAAGTGTATTTTAGCCATCTTGTAGACAAAAATATCAAGGGACAAAAAGAAAGGAGTTTACAATAGAAATCGACACGTGAAAAAATAACACTACAGGGACATTAAAAATGTATGAGGATGATAGTTTTCCCTATGATTTAAATTATTTTTATGAATATATCTTCAGCAGCTCCCAATTAATTTTATTTTAGGCTAATATGATTAGGCTATGTGATTCAATAACTTAAAAAGTCAATACTGATTGAAACCCATTCGTTGCAGCTTGTACGTAGCAATTTGACTACTGTTCGTTCGTTGTTAAAGAAAATCAATAAGTCTGATATTTAACCAGTGCTACAATTCCTGAGAAATGAGTTATTAGTTTTCTCATTCAGTGAACATATATTGGCTGATCAGACTACTAGTAAACTCACATAACAGGTTGACCCCAGGTATCTCTAGTGTTTAGTCTTATAGCAAGTCAAGATATCATTCACCAACTGATTCCAGGATTCAATATCCTATAATTTATTTGGTTGACTGCAAAATAGTACACCAAAAATCCACCTCAGAATTTTGATAACACGATGAAAACTTCTAGTACAAAAGGAGTAACAATACCGTAAATTTAGAACTAATTTTGTTTTTTTTTACGAAAACTGTTTCAAAATCTTAAGATATAGGACAAGCTACTAATATCATTTATATCATGGGGGTCTTTGATGCCCTATGTTCTATTCATGTATCTCTAGTGAAATTATTCACAAAAAAATTATCCCCACCACACCCTACCCCCAGAGTGCAGTTGTGTACTTGATGTCCAATCCATTTTATTCATAATTTTTTGTATTTGTAACTTTATATCTAACGTGGATCGATAAAGAAAAACAGAAAAAGTAGAAACATTTCCAAATTTCTTTTTACTTTGAATTAATAGAGATGTAGGTCAAGGTATTCTTCAAAACAAAATTGGTTAGTTTATTATATATGTGTGGTTATATACATACGTACATAAACATTTATCGACATCAATATAGTACAATACTTTGTAACAAAGTCATGTCGCTGTGCTAATACAGTGTGGCAACTTGAACTGATACACATATGTACCAGGTTCTACGTTGCTGATGACTGACTAACTGACTGCCAAAGACAAGAAACACTATAAATAAATTAAATTCCGAAAATAATTATATATATATATATATATAATTGTGGACTGACAAAATGTGTTATCTGGTAGTACTTCTATATAAATAACCTACGCAATTGAATAAGTGTATAGGCGTATACGTGTGCGTATAGGTACACAGCTTACCATGTAGATCGGTTTAGATTATATCAAAACAAATCTTTGCTTTAGTGGGAGAGAGGAACGATGTAGTTCCAACTGTTACATAATCAAGAGGCAACTAAGTATAGTACCGATAGTGAAATTATTTTTTTATAATAAACAAATAAGCAAAATGTTTATAGAACAAAGAATAAAAAGTAGTTATGTAATAAAATAAGTAAAACAACTTTTTTATTCTCTCTATTAGTTGGTAAGTATATAAATATATTACCGCAGAAGTATAAATAAAATTATGAATCTTAGCCAAATGTTTCCAGAAAACAATAAGAAAAATTTAAAGGTATATATCAAGAGTTTTTTTTCCTGATTATAAGCAACAACGAAATTTGACATCAGGAATTATTTGGTCATTTTCAGAAAAAAATTGTATAAATTGAGAAGTTATTTATTAAGAGGTTTTATGTATCAATGTTTGAAACATTTCATATGTGAAAGCTAATCGTATTAACCGGTGACGACGAAGTGGGTCAGGGAAGATTTAAACCTCCAACTAGAAGATATAATAAACAATTTTCGGTTTAATACTTTGCATTCATTTATGTAAGTCATCTATTAATGTTCTCATAAGCCAATAATATAATCGAAAATTCACTCATTTCAAAGGAATATCAGGATTAAACTTGAGTTACAGCGGAATTTAAATAAAAATTCTATTGAAATATTGTTACATACTGCCTTCTTTCTTACTTCTACTTATTGTAATTTCTGTTTACGTGTACATTTCCATCTGTTTTGTTATGGAGTTAACTTTTGAACAAGGATAAGTTATAGATTTTTCAATCTCAATTAAAGGTAATTCAGTACAATTTCGTTAATTGCGTTTAATGTTAGCAGATATTTTTCCGTTATTAACAACTTTTAAGTAATTATTAGTAATTACATTGAACAATATAGTTTTACACTGTCGACAAGAAATAAATGATTAAGAAAGATTAACTTTCCCTATATTTTTTTCTTAGTATCAAGGCATGTTTAGATATTTAATAAATTGTGTGTGTTTGTGAATTTTATGACGAATTGCACTTTACTTACTTCATCTGGTCCATTATAAAAATTCGTAGTTTTACCAGCTATATCATTATATCCAGCTCGAATATTCACAGTATTTGTTGATGACTGATAATAACAGCCAACGACACCATCGTCACCCTATATTGTGAAGTAAAAATGAAAAAAGATTATCCAAGCGAAAAATATGATTTGATTTAACAAGATTTAAGGATAAATGATAATTTTTTTGTAATAACTTACTATGAAATATTTTTCTAAATAGCCATAAACACTAACTAAAAGGAGTACAAACCGTGACACAAACAACAAGATATAAAAAGAAATTTATCCATTGTACACGCAAGTAGATATTTGAACACAGTACATAACATGCTGGGCATTTGAAGTCAAAAGTAGTGGGTTAAAGTTGCAGTGTGAATATCAACAGTGAGATGCAAGTACATCTAGCTGAAGAATCTCAAATAAGACGATCCATGCGTCCTGAGTTTTACTGCTAGCCACTATCCGACTATACTATCAATATAAAAGATAACTATATTCGGTGCTGAACCAATAAGTAATCTCGAATTAATATTTCATATTGTGGAAGATTGTAAGCAAAATATACATCAAGGCTTATAGATTAATCGAAATTGGTTTACTAGCCAATCTTACTGCGAAACAATCTTGTAATTGTTATATTCGAACTCATCAGTTTATGAACATGAAGCTAATTAATCGATTCAAGTAATTATGTTCAAACGAAAAACTTATGCGGACCTCAAAATGAACTACCAACTTTTTGCTAGTTACTAAACCTTGAGAATACAGATAAATTGAAAGTACATGGTTGAAATGTAAGAAAACTTAGATGAGCACAGTAATTTAGCATCAAATTATTTTCAAACGTTTTAGTTGTTTTTTATCAATTGTAAAATCAAAGTATGTTCCGCATCAAAAAGATCATTTTAATGGTTCTAGATTCAGATCATTGTATAAAGTGGTAAATATTTTCTAAATAACTTGAGAAAGCTCTCATGTTGTTTGCTTGCACACTGGTTAATAGGCTATTAAAATACTGTTTACAGGTAACATGTGTGTCATTTATCCAGTGAATCCACTAACACAATAATTAACTGGGATATCATATTCAAACAAACATTGAAAAAGAAAATACTTAGTTATTAATATTTTTTTGGTCGTCAAGGAAAAACAGTTACAGTTAGTACCTTGGGACCTATCGGTTTGATAGTGAAAAATACTTTATAACTTCATACATATCATCTAGTGTGCTTTATCGTAATTATCCCAATGAATGGCATTGTTGTTATAGTATTTTGACTTGTATTACCAATTCTGGTTACTTTACAAACAATTATTTTGAAATAGCCTTCAAATATTTAGTCAAAATTATTTCAATCATATTTACTGTTAGTCCAAAATTTAGATCATGTAATAATAATCACGTGATTTATTACCTAGGTTCTGGATGCTGAAATGTACTGAAATGATTATATACATGGTATCTACACCTACGTCCAAAAACAGTATCTTTATTAAGAAACCAACCTTACTTTTGACTTATTAGAAGGAAAAAACATAATTATTCAGTGTAATGAAAACTAAATTATCTAACACGTATAAATATCCCAAGTGTGTGAGCGACAGTGATCTGTGACTGAAAAATAACAGTTTCGAGATAGGACGAGAAATGAGTGCCAATAGCAATGATTTCAATATTATACTAATGACGTCCTCCTTGCGGGGATTTTAGAGATTTTATTCATTTTACCCAGTTTCTGGTATCAGAATTTGACATGTAATTTAATAAGCTATCATGTGCATCCCAGTAAATACATATTGTCCTTTTTTCAAAAATTATGATTCCTAATTTCTGAATAACATCCTTACTATAGTCACGTGACAGAATAGTCAGTGTTATAATGATATAAAACACGAAAAGCTTTCACTAACAGCCTGAGATGTATGCTATGGCAATAAGACCAAAATTTAGAGGAATAACCTTAGAACAGCTTTATTGAAATTCATTGTCGGTCATATTACTCAATCTTTTGGATCATAGATTATGATTACAGCGTAGGCTCAAACTACTAAGTCCACACTTGTCAACATTGTTTAAGCAAACAGCTGATGACTTCATGTAATAGAACTATGTATTTGTTCACCCAACCTTTTTTCAACACACTTATACACAAGCAAACAAACACTGAAGTAACTAAGGAGATAAACACAATAGTAAGTTGATGAAATTGGTAGTTCAATGGTTGAGCAAACAATTTGTCTTCAACTATCTCGAAAATGTATACTGTAACAACGTATAGTAAACGACTTAATAAACTATGCGAATTATGAGATCACATAAGTGTTTACCTTATTGATATGGTTTTAACTATTAACCTAGATTGAGTGAAACCTTAGTCAATGGAGATGAGAATTATTCATCCCAAAGAGCTTCGATGCCAAATTTTTTGGCATATAGCATGCATATACACAGTAAGACGCAGTAAACATTGTTTATCTAATTCAAATGAAACTGAAATTAATCGGTGAAAAAAAGGTTAATGGAATAATTACTAATCATACTGTTTGAGAAAACAATTTAGAAGAGAAACTTTTAAATTTTATTTGTAATTTCCAATTAGGAAATAAAAACGACGAAGTTTTTGCATCTTGTAAATTATTCTTTTTTGGATCAATAGCTGGATTTAAGTTAAATTTCCCGCCTACATGACAAGCATAACTCGGTGAAATACGCTTCACAACACTGGTATGCAGTAAATTTTTCTGCAATTTTTATGTCAACCAATCAACATACAGTGAAAGTGCACACTTATAAAAAAACAGATAGTAAAATAACCAATCATATTTTAGAAAAAACAAATATTGATTTCTGTTGGTAATTTTTACGTGATGTTGGCAAATACTTTTTAGCATAATTCATTTCTTGTTTCGTTACTTATGTAGGCGTCAGCAAGCGCGCCCGAGATTTTCCCTTGAGTGTATAACAGCAATTTGATCAATTTTAAAGTATTTACATTGAAAGTTTCATGAAAAACTGAAACAGTCGTATTGAGTTTTAGAATACAATTCTTTTTATCTGGGAGGATTTCAGTCTTCTTATTGCTTTCACATACAACTCTTGTAAATTGAGACGCCAAAACTCTATTCTGCTCACAGTTAGATCACGTTTCCTATGACTGGCTTGGAAGTGGAATACAACAGTAGATAACTGAACACAATTACTTTTATACCACCGTTGTTTACTGTTGAGTTAGAAAAATACATATACGTAGTTTCCAGTGGTTGGTTGACTTCTAAAAAATCGCCCTTGTACTCAACAGTGTATGTGAACTGATTAGTCATGTGACAATAATACGTATTATTCAGTAAGGTGAATACCAACAGTTTATAAGCGCTTATTCTCGTTACAAAAATGAACGTTAGAAATTAGAAGCTAACTAAAAACTACAAAAGTAATAGTTCTTCTACTACTCAGGGATTTTTCTTGACAACCTCGTTTCGCAGTGTTAATGTGGTGTAGCAACTTGGGCCGATGCATATGTACGTTAGGTTCTACGTTGCATATGACTGATCCACTGAGTGGAAGTTATAAGTCTGAAGACTTAAGAATATTCTAAGGAATTAGTCAGATCCTACATAAAACTAGGTTAGTGTTTATCACGTTATCACATTATTCTTTATAGTTGAACAAGAAGTAAAGAATGGATCATAAAAAGTTCTGTCCACTGATATCTTGTTGATAGTCGACATCAAGCTGATCTCAAAGTGGCATTTGAAGCTATTTGTGAAACTAATCCAATATACTGTACTCCTCAAGACTTCGCCTTCGGAGTACAGTGTAAATTATAAGGGATTCACTTGAATATAGTTAACTTATGTGATCAGAAGAAGTCTACACAGCCTCATTTTCTACCCTGATCCCGCAGGCCTAATAAAAAGAAACTTTCGAAATATTGCTTAACATATTCATTTTCTCCAATACACTCATTTAAAATGTTTTGCTTCTTCATATTCTTTTGAAAACAGTTTAACAAGTTAACTACTTGACCAAATCTTTCATTTTTTTTACCAATCACTATTAAGTATATACTCTGGTAGTATACTACGAAATTTTCAATTCTTTTTTTAAATTTTAACTGTTAATTAACAACTTCATCGAAGATCTTCGATATGAGACAACTAATCAGTAGTAGTTAAATAGTACACTGTTTGTCATAAGGTCGGATGGTCTTGGGTTCTATCCCATGTGTTGTCGTGAATGGGAACCACACTGAGCAACTCCATAAAAAATGAAACAGCTATATAATATTACTTGCTGATTTCTAATGATAATGTGTTGAAAGCTAACTTTGATTTAAATAAGCTTTGTAAAAACCGCTAAAATTAATTTAATATAATTCTTGTTGACAAACTTATCACAACTAGTATTGTATAATATTACACTCCGTTTTCTTGAGAACTACAACACCGTTAGTGTACATCCAGATGGTTAAAGGCGATTGCAAAGAGATATTGCTTAGCTAAGCCTGTATTATTTCGCCATAATTTGTTTAAAGATATCTAATACAAATGATAATGGTAGTAATCCGCTGTTAAAGAGGTTTTTGTTAATTTGAAACAACAAGAGTGTTGATAACAATAACCTAAACAAACAGAGAGGGAGATTTACTAATAAAAACAGAGATAAGGAACTAACTACGAGAGGTGAAGACAAGACAAAAATGAGTAGGTAGTAGGTATGAAGTAGGTTTTTAAGTCTCACATCTGTGACCTGAACAATTTAGTGCATAGTAATAGTAGCAGTAACAGTAACTAATAATAATAACAACGGATACTATTTACTTAATTTAAACGATTGTATTTGTGAGTGAAAAATATACAAAGACGCAGTCTAAAAGCAAGTTTATAAGTTGGTCTACGATGTATGAGTAATACTTAATACTTAATAGATGAAGACTTATTATCTTTTCAATGATATGCTCGTCTCAAAAGGTTTGATAGAGTCCGAATAAATGATATAACTATTGAAAATCAGATGACTAGACATATAGAAGTGTAATACACTTAGTTAACATAATTTATGTATGACATTTGATAAGATGTAACAGATGTATCTC